GATCCATCAGGGAAACGAAACTCCTCACTTTAACGCCACGCAACAACTACCCTTCTAAGCAAATCGACTGTTTTTTGCACTCTACACATCGACAACAGCGCCACCTCACCGCACCCATACCCTATTTACGCATGCGCGCCCTTTTATGAGTTTGAAGGTTAAGTTGCCACTATTTAATTTACAACCCTCGTATTAAAAGAAACAACATATGAGTGGTTGTTACGGAACACTCTGTATATTATAGTTATTTATTATATTTCGGATTAGATTTGAAACCTTTCGAGCGATCTTCCCGTTAAAGATTTTTTTTTTATTTTTAATTCTCACTATAAATCAATGAAATCAGCTTAAATGGACCACCATCCAAATATAATAAAACGGAAATTCTATTAAAAGTGCAATTTAAAAATTTAATTCATAACACTATGTTCTGTTATATCACGAAAAACAAAATTTTGAGGTTGAAAAAAAAATCATTTCTTTCACTCTCTTAAAAGGCGTTGTTAGATATCATTCACTCAATTTAAATGAATTGGTTTCCCGGCCGCATATTTCAGGTCCGGCGTTCACATCAAACGCGAAAGTGAAAACGCCCATTTACGTTTTTGTTTATTCTTTTCATTTATTTATTTGCTTTCTCTCTAGGTTCATGGGAGTATGCGTACACGAAGGCCAACTTCATGCTCTGACAGAGGTGAGTAGTAAGATCTTTTCTTCTTTTTTTTTTTTCTCTTTTTGTTTGTTAAATGAATCTTTTATTTGTTTATTTCGCCAATACACATGCCGGTAGTTGATCCTTATTTAACGTGATGTCTATGAATGTTTTAAATTTTTTTTTTAGGAAGTTCTAGGAGCGATGCTAACGAATCATTCCTTCAATTTGTTGCTACTTGTACTTTTATATTTTTCCTGTAACAATAATTTCGGCTATTATTTTTGAAGATTTTTTTATTCGTTACGTTAACTTATGATCTATTTCAAAAGTATGGTAAAAGAAAATCGGGAATAATTCTTTCAAGTAAAAAAATTTTTTAAAAGTGTTATTTTCTTAATGAAAAACTCTCAGTTTTTTTTTTTTTTTTTTTTAAATTCAGTTTTTAATTGTTTCTACTTTCGAACAAATGAAATAGATTGAGAAATTTATTATACTGATTGAGAAAAAATAGTTTAAGCAACTTCTCTCAAAAATGTAGCGTAATAAATGTTCAAATCTAGTCACTTTCGAATCTGTAATTTTTTTCTTTCAATTTTCCTTTTTTTTTTCTTGCGAAAGATTTTTTTTTAAAAATTTTATATATTGATAATTGTATGAATTGTATGGTATGAATTTGACTAAAATAAGGTTAAGAATGATTTTAAGAATTATTAACTTAATGTTCATTTTATTAATTTCATTCTTATTATACATTATACAAATCATTAATAAGAAATTTCAGCTTTGAGACTAAATAATACAATGGAAAATTCATGAAGCTATGATGGAACAAGATTTTCTGTTAAGTGTTCATTTATTTTAAAATTCGGTTTTTTAAAAATTCAATTTCTTAAACAATATGACCTATTTCGCTCTAATGCAAAATTATAGTATTCGTTAAAATGATGCAAAAAATTATCCATCTTTCAATTCAAAATTTTTTCTATCCTATTAAATGAAATAATAAAAATAATAAATATTTACTAAGTTATATTTTTCATGGAATATTTTCGTTGGGTAAATGAATTTTATAATTTTGTGCAAACATTTTTCAATTCGCTGAAAAAGTTCTGAAGATTGGCGGAATATGCAAAAAATGAAATTAACATCAAGGGGTCCAAACTTCATACCGCTCTCCTGATCAAACTATGGAGACCATTTTTACCAGATTGCGGCTATCCCCTATATTTTGGGGGTCCGAAATTCAAATCCTTCGAAAGAATATGTTTATTTAGAGTGCGTTTTTGTCAAATTTCGTAACTTAAAAATTATCGTCTGCACTAATTAGCATATTTGAGGTCATCTTTAAGATTGAGTTCTGGAACGGAAGATCCGATCATTAGATCAAAAGTTATTATTCAGGGTGGTCCGTTTTTTATTTTGCTCACCACACATTTTTATTTGATGTTTCATAATTTGTATAGCTTTTCAATTCGTGGATCAGCTGAAAAAGCGAGAGTAGTGATGGAAAGATCTCAATCACGCAGGACTCGCAGATGTCCCAACACAGGGATGGGACTTTGTTTAAATGACTCACATCCTCTCTGTTTTCAATAGTTGGATGATGTTCAGGAGGGGAATGATTGTTCCATTCTGTCATCCGCCCACCCAACAATCTCTCGCATGGGTGGCTTTCTCTCCAGCAGGTGGGGAGAAAGAATGGATATTTTGATAGAGATGTCGTTTGCGCCTGTCAATTTTTGGCACTTCATGTGAAATTTCTGAATAACATCACCCAGAATCTGATATGGCTTTAGATTTCAATTTGTCTGCTTTTATGACAAAAACTTTTTCTTCTGGGGTGTTTTTTGAAGCTCTTTCACCCTAAATAAATTCGCAATTTAAGTGCCTTATATTTGATGCAAAGTTATATTTTTAATCCATGCCATCTATATCATACATGGTGCGTTGCGTTTTTATAAAGTGCTGTAAGGTGCTTTTTTCGATTTTTGTTTTTTAAAAGCCCTGCTTTTTCATTGAGTGTTTTTAAAAAGTGCTTATTTTTCCCTTTTCCGAAATGAGATTTTTTCTTCTTTAACTTGTTGATTTTCGCCACGTATTATGTAAAAGCGTGGTTTTTACATTGTTTATTCAACGTTTTTACAATCTTCACAATCGTTTTCAACTTTTTCACATTCTACCACAATCCATTTCGGTGTACCGTCGGTCCATAGCGTATGAAAGCGCCAATCATTTTACATGTTTGATGTAATACTTACGAGCTCGCATGTGTACCTACTGAGCTTGGTTCGGTGAGATCCTTGCACTCTCATGTGCAACTCTGCTGCATTTTGCAAAATATTTCCACCCTCTGAAATCGAACCGAAAAATCTCTTGATCTTTTTATGGTGGCTAATATAATAAAAAAAAAAGAGTTCTTTGTCGAAAATGAGTTATTTTATCATGATCATATAAAGTCTGAAAATTATTTTGCGTTTTGTTAATGTACGTAGTGCTTAAAAATTACTTAAAAGTTGCTTATTTTTCGTTGAATGATTTGGCTACGCACCCTGTTTAGAACCATACCCATCAACATTTAAGGCTCCTGCGAAATTTCTTCGAGTGGTAGTGAACTAAGGCAGAAATTTTGGGCTTTTTATGTCTGTTTAAATTGTTCTTGCGTAGTGATAGACAAAATTCTTTTTAATTTTGATTTATTAAAATATTATTACATTACTTTTATTATCATTATGAAGAAACATATTTTCTTAAACAACGGGAAATCTGTAGTTGTTTTAGAGGGTAGGACAGAAGAAAATAGATTAAATATTTAAAAATTCTGTAACTTGTATGAAAAATTGCCAATCAGAGATTTTCAAACCTATATGAAAATCATTAATATCAATTGATAATTCTTGTTTTTTTTTTTTTATAATTTCTATGAACAGTGCAGTGTTGGTGTAAATTTATAAATGTTAAAAAAATTAGATCAAAAACGTGCTTTTTATTTTTACGATATTGTGGATTTTCTTCATAGTGACGATTTGCGCCATTTTTATAAGAAGCATCGAGGGCGATGGCCAAAGATAATAAGCAAAACTTAACCATTCGAGAATGACTATAAAAGGTCCCAACAGCTATAAAAATTACCTTATTCTCTAAAAAGCATTACTTCAAGTGGCAATACAACCTTCAAAAAAGTCTTGCTGTGCTGCAAAGTTGCAAGTGAAAAAATGTTTAAACCTATTTGAAAGCAATAAATAAAAGTGTATAATATATCCGATGCATTTGGAAATTCAAATAAAATTTGAATAATGAAAAAATATATTTCTAACTTATCGAAAAATAACTTATTTTTACTGAAAATAAGAAATTGCGTTTCACAATTAATTAGTTAATTTCAATTAATAATAATTCAATGGGCTGATTCAGAATTATTTGCAAAACTGAAAATTTATTATTTTTCTTATAATTATATTCTTATTTCTTATATTCTCTTCTTATTTCTCATATTTTTCTTATAATTATATTATTATTCTTATAATATTAATATTATTTTTCTTAGCTTATGACAATCGTTTTAAAGAGCGACTCTTATTTTTTTCCCCTTTTACATCTCTTACATTTTAAAAGCTTCAGAAAACATTTTAATCTTAGATTGATAAGGACTGATAATAAAGCTTTTATATATATTACTTTATCTCAATGCTTCCAAGGTAACAAAGCTTTTGAAATTTTTTTTTTCTTTTTGAAGAAAACCGTTTTAGTTTTTGGTTTATGCAAAAGAACAACTTATCTGGAAAAAAACAAGTCTTAAAATATTTTTATGACTAAGATAACTTTCTTTCTCACTAGACATGGGACAAATTTTTCAAAAAGATAAGTTACTCTATAAAAGTTTTATTTTTTATTTTATAAAGTATAAAATATACTTAAAGTTGACTTGTTAAAATTTTAATGTTCCATATAAGCAACGTAATAAACTAATTTAAATACATAAAATACTCATTTTTATTGCATCTTTTATTGAAAAAATTTTTAAGGTAAAGAGAAAATATTATCTTGCATATTTTTATTGATGTGCACGTCTTATCAATTATAGATTATTCAGCTATTGCTTAATATGTATTACTTTTTATATCAGTATACTTTAAGTATTTTCACATATGAAAATTTTTTACACATATAAATTTGTGTACAGCAGTTATATTAAACTTTTTAAATGTCGTTTTTGTTGAAATCTTAGATTTGTGCTGATTTTTTGTAATCAAAATTTTACACAAAATAAATCCCAAAAAAAAACTTGATACAATATTAAATGTGTTTTAAAGTGAAATTTGAGAATTGTTGATAAAAAGTTTTTTCTTTTGTTATGGACTCTTTTTTAGATTTCCTTTTTTAAAATATGCTTTTTTTTTGATTTGCAATTTATTATCCAAATATGATATTTAATAAAACAATTATTTATAATGTGTGTAAGAATTTTGATAATGTTGTAACAGTTGACGTTTGTGTTCTTATTTGCACTAAATTAGTATATGATTGTTGTATATAATATACATATATATCTATACATAATTGATTTCATAACCAAAATTTCTGATGATTCATATTGTTAATTTTTTCTAGTACATTAATGGTGGAAGCTTGGAACAACTTTTACAGAACAAGCATATTGAGTTGTCATGGGAGACAAGAATTAAATTGTCATTAGATATAGCTCGTGGCATGTGTTACTTGCATTCACGTGGTGTTTTTCACAGAGATCTTACTTCAAAGGTATGAAACATCTGTTATGATTTGACTTCATCTTTCTTTTCTTTCCATTCTGTGTTTATTATTGTGTTGTTGGCATCAAATTTGTTTGATTTTTATTTTGTATGCTTGTATTTTACAGTGTACGTTGTCACGAAATTACCAGCCATTAAAATTATTTTTACATCTAAAAATAGTCATAATTATGGAAAACTGAATATGTATTGTAAGGATAAGAATTAAAGTTTTTTTTTTCTTCCTATAATTTTACCTACTGGTAATGAGAACATGTTGGATGTAAAATTATTAAATCGTAATCATATATTTTTTTTTACTGTTATAAATTTAAACATAAGAATTTTTCTACATTTATCTAAAATAGTTTTTTAGTTTAAATTTGAACCATGCTTTGGGACACAATGTTTTTTTTTTTTTTTTCACTTTATGGTTTTTTTTAAAAAATTAATTAAACCTAAAATGCTTAAACAATATTTTTTTAGTAGATGTGAATTTTTAATACCTGTTATTTAAAATTATTATATTTAGCGTTTTAATAATTTATGGTTATGAAATGTGCCTTTTTATGTGTTAAAGATTAAATCTTCGAAACACTGCTCACTTCCAAACAATAATTTTTCAAATTTGCACTTAATTGCAGTTATTTATATTTAGGAGGAAGTTATTTATTATTGAAATTTCTTTAATTTACAAAAATCAATTATTGATCAATTTTAATATGATTAAAAAGAAATTCAAACTACTTTTTTTGGATTTTATATTTTAGTGTAAATATAATTATGATAATCTTCTAACAATTTGTTTTGGTAACTATTACTGTTTTCCATAATTGAAAAATACCAAAATATATTTGTAATTAGAGGGTCAATGTATATATATATGAAAGGGACACTGGCGTCCCACCGGCATCAAAGAGTTTAAGATGAATTGAGCTTAAACTGTGCCCAGCACAAATTTGGTCAGTTTAGTTAAAAGGTTTTAGACTAAGGCTAAATTTTTCTTTCACTAAAGTTCTCTTTATCTGAAAGTTAAAGAATTATACCAAATTATACATATATCTGTAAAATTAGCTTTTCGTACACAAGTATTTGTTTACTCCCATACAANCTTCTAACAATTTGTTTTGGTAACTATTACTGTTTTCCTTAATTGAAAAATACCAAAATATATTAGTAATTAGAGGGTCAATGTTTATATATGAAAGGGACACTGGCGTCCCACCTGCATCAAAGAGTTTAAGATGAATTGAGCTTAAACTGTGCCCAGCACAAATTTGCTCAGTTTAGTTAGAAGGTTTTAGACTAAGGCTAAATTTTTCTTTCACTAAAGTTCTCTTTATCTGAAAGTTAAAGAATTATACAGAAGTCCTCTTTGTTCTTCTGTTAATAAGTATGGAAAAAAGTAATGACATATAAACAATTAAAAAGAATTAAATCTTTTCATATTATCCCAAAATCTATAGTCTCTAGCATATCTCTATGTTTCTCTCATTGCAAATTATGGCTTTAGTTTGACATATCATTATGCATGCAACTTTAATCCTTTCAAATGAAAGTTTTTTTTGCTTTAAACATTTGATATCTTTTATCTTCATAAGTTACTATAATGCTCCAATTTGACGTGCATTTTCAATATATTTGACATAAAAATTTAATTATTTTAATTTTAATATACATTTCATTTGTAAAGAAAATTTGAAAGTTTTAATATTTATTATTATTGTGTATGATTTGTAAATAGTGTTGCTTTGTTCACAGAATGTCCTCATCAAGATGAATGAAGATGAGATGACCGCAGTTGTTGGTGATTTTGGCTTAGCAGAGAAAATACCAGATTCAAGGTAAACAGTAACTGCCCACGAGTCTGTAAATATTTTAATATTTAGAACATTATTTTAATATATTTTCTGTATTAATCTGTTGTCTGGGTGAGAAACGAAATAGCCAAACTTCACTAAGACTTCAGCAATAGATTATTCTTTTGCAAAAATTGAAGTCTTGCCTCCACCTTTTATACAATTGCTAGTTTGGTTAGTCCATCTTAATTTAAGCAGTTTTCTAAAACTTTCAAAAGACAAACTGTTAAAAATTTTTTTTTTAAATGGCTTAAGATAATTCAGTTTAGTTGTTACTGTCCTTCTTGATACTAAAAGACTTGGTAACCATTTTGGTGAAGGTACCCATCTAATGGATAAATGTCAATTTTTAAATTCAAAAGGAATTTCTGGCTTCTTATATAGGATGTTAACACCTTTTGATTCATAGATTCCACTGATGAAAGTGCCAGCAGATTGCAATAATTTTGATTTTTATTGCAGTAAAATACATTTTATATACATCATATTTATCCGTCTTATCACTTTTCCGTAATTTCTATGCAGTCCCAGTTTATTCTTAATGCATGCTATGTTAAAATAATTGGTTTATATGACCAAAAAACACAAAATATTAGTTTATAAGTATTTTTTTTCTTCTGTACTTCGTTCCCCCTTTTTTATTTTTTATTAAATCTAAATATTTCTTTTGGATTTCAGAAACTCTTAAGACTTCCTAATATCTAAAATAAAATTTTTCTCCATACGATTTTTTTTTTTTTACTTGTCTATGTAAGAATTGTATAGATTGGTGTACAAAAATTATGATATAATTGTATGATTATTTTTCACTTTCATAACAGATTTTTTGTTTATGTTTGAACTTAACTCTTATTATCAATAACATTAAATGTCATATTAACAATGGCTATTGCATTGTCAAAATTAGTGTTCATATGAAGTATTAAATTTAAATTGTTTGATTTTCTGTTATATATCAATTTACTTCGCTCCCCTGATAAAAAATGCTTTTGTAATTTTAAAATTTGAATAGATGAAGGAAGGATAGCTTTCTTTCATTTTAGAAGGCCTCTTTTATCTTGTAGTGTGCTTGGTGATCATGAATACAATATTTATCCTAGAGGCAGTAAACTAACGCAGAAATTTTAAAACAAATAGAATTTTTATTAAATGTCAATCAGAACTTATGAGCATTTATGTATCAAACTTTTGATACATCAATTTAAGTCATTTATATGTAGTGGTGAACAATTTTATTTTAAATTTAGTTTATTAAAATATTAATACTTTACATTTGCTACCATTAAAAATATTTTCTGTAACTATGAAAATTCTGTAGTTAAAAGGTTTGAACATTTGTGACACAAACTTCTATTTTGACTTGAGTGTGCAGTAACTGTTGCAGCATAACCGCAAAGTGTCTATAAAGAAAAAAGATCTTATTTTTCTCTTTTTTAAATTTAGATTTTTTTTGTTGAATTTGTGTAATTGTATTCAAAATTAGCTTGTCTCAAAAATATATAGTAGTTTTAAAAACACTTGACTTATTCAATATAGGCTTAATATGTATATATATTTTTTAATAAACATGAAAATATCCTTTAATGTCTTTTTTATAAAGTGTAAATTAAACATGCTTGTTTTCTAAACTTTTTTGTCTTTATTATTCTGCGAAATTATTAAGTTGAATGCTTTTTATAATTTTTTGGCTTAATTGTTTTTTCTAAAATTTTAAGATACTTCTTACATTATTTGTCTATTTTAGGGATCGTAGTCAACGTTTACCAATTGTTGGTTCACCTTATTGGATGGCACCTGAGTGTTTAAAAGGAAAGTGGTACAATGAAAAGGTAAATATTTTTTAATGAAGTTAGCTCTATTTCAGTTTCCATAGTGTCACAATGACACTTTTTGTCCTATTCGTTTACATTCCTTCATAAATTTCAGGGGTATTCTTGTATTAACAATAAAGACGATTTGAGTGATTTTAGCCCCTCTCGTTTTTTATTGATTTGTAATTCAAAAAAGTTACTGAAAAAAATAGAGTAATTCTGACTTTTCATAATTTGATTAAATTTAAGTGCCTATTTATTCATGTGTTATAGTGCCATTCATGTGTTAGCCTTATAGGAATATATTTATAGAACCTTATACCTAAAATGATGGCAGGAACCAGGTTGGCCCTTAAGGTATTTTGGTAGGTACCCCATTACTCCAGGTAGTTCGGGTATAAAGTTCTATAAGTAATAAGGTGTCTCAGTTTCATTCAGAAGAAAAAAAGTATTTCAACGTATCAGTTATTATTAAAGAAAATTTGATTATCCAAGAAATTAATGTAATAAGTATAATTTAAATATCAGTATTCCATTTAATAAAATATTTTAGTAAAATCAAATTGAATAAAATACCATAGAATTTTGATGCCAGTCTTCAATGTATTTCTCATTAAATTGATTATGATTATATTTTAAGATTTCGGGTGTCTAATTGATCTACTCACAAACAATCTGGGAACGTCTTTGCTTTCTAATGAATTACCAACATTTAAGTGAAAAAAAAAAGTCTTAAAAATTTATATATCAGTTCATTTTTGGAACTCTTTATTACTATAAACATTAAACATTGTAATGCAATAACATGTATTGTATGCTTTTCTATAACAAAATAAATCCTTGTTGCCTATTCTATTTAAAGGGCTAACCATGTTACTTTGATCATTGTAAAAACCTGATTACTTGATATCCTATAGTGTATTATAGTAATGTTATAAGTCAAATATATTCAAAAAGGGTTCATGTGTTATTTTGTTTTTATATTTTCCCAGGATTTTTAAAGGTCAATGTAAATAACAATTAAAGAAAATAGTGTATTTGTTCTTGAACTTTGATTAATTATAACATTTTATGATGCTTAGTTCTTAAGTTGTTTAATCCTTATCAGTTACTGAATCATAAGTTCAAGTGTCAAAGAAAAGTTTAAATATTCAAATGAGAGAGCTAAAAAAGTGTAATTTATTTTATACAGTTTTTTTTCTTTTCAAAAACCATGGCATGAGCATAAACAATTAAAGAATTTGAGATAGTATAGTGAAAAGTCACACTTTTTCTATTTTTTTTTTTNTTTTTTTTTTTTTTTTTTTTTTTTTTTTTTTTTTTTTTTTGTAACTGTTCCTTAGTATTGTTTCCAGAATTTCAGAAAGTTCTTTTAAATAATATCACAATTCGCAAAAATATCTTATTGTCTATTTAGAAATCACTTGTCTTCCTTTTTTGCAAAAATTCTAATTTGACTTATTATATTATCCCAAGCTCTTCAACTCTATTACATAAAGAAATAAAATTTATTGATGAGCCTTTTTACCAAGTTCTATTTTAAATGCTTCTCAGTGCCTTCACTTCGAAAGTTCGAAGGAAAAAAAATGAAATGAAAAAAAAAATAGACACAAAAGGTTAAGACAGCCAAGTGTTTTGTTGGCACAGTTAGAGTTCCGCTGGCAGCTCTATGTTGGTGGGAAGTTTAACAATTTGATTGTATATGCAACAAGGTGCATGTTAAAACTGTTCTGACTGAAAGGTGTATTGATGTGGTCTGGTATGGTAGTTAAGAGAGAAGGGTACCAAATACTTAGTGTTCACACACCAGCAATGAAAATTTAATGAACACTAGGACTACCTAGGTATTCTTGTAGTTTTTTAAAAACTTTATATGATGAACAAACTTGAGAAAAAAAATCTAACTGTACAGTTACATAAATCATGTTATGGTACACATCAAAAATTAATTATTACCATCTTTAACACCCTAAAACTCTTTTGGCTCATTGACTCACACTGATTGAAGGTAAGTATTTATTAATATTATGTGTAATAAAGCTAAAAATAAATTCAACATAGACATTAAAATGAGACCAAATAAATAAGTAAAAGAGAAAGACAGAGATAATAATTTTAAATATAGTATTTTGTTAGTAAGACCTAAAAAAATACTATATTTAAAATTATAAAGTTTTAAATTTAAAAAAGTAAAGCATTGCCATAAAAGCCCATTGTGAGCCAGGGGAGTCATATAGAGGTTAAAGGTCCACAATTTTGTGACCAATAGCATGATTGTCGAAATGTGGTTAGCATTGTGCGCAGGCTGCCTTTAATTCCCAGACCAGCTGGTACCCATCAATCTGAAGCTAGAAAGTTTTAAATAATTAAATTGTAAAATTATTATTTAAAGTCAATTCTAAAAGAACAAAAAATATTTTCTTGATTAATAATTATATTGTCAGTACATGAATGCAAAGCACAGCATAGCATGTAAATTTGAAATTTCATCATTTAAATTTATAAATTTTTCTACCAGACACTTTCCATTATTCTATTTGAATACCACACATTTTAAATTCTATATTACATGTACAACTATGAAATTAGTTTATAATTTATAAATAGTGCAATTAGTTTAAAAATACATAGTATATAAAATACTCAATGTATATATAAATATAAAATAGTCAATGCAAAAACTATTTTTCGTTACTATTCTGCAAATTGCGAACATATTTCAAGGTGACAAATATTTCGCCCATGCATATGATTTTAGCAATATTTGTAGAACATTTGGTAACAACTGTCTCCATACTGGTGTAAACCCTATAGATATAAGAGGATTGTCTTTTTCTATCAAAGCCATTGAAAGATAGATGACCTGGTGGTTTGCCAGTGAATAGCAATAAAGTGTAGTGTGTAAATAAATAAAAATGAAGTGTAGTCCATATTATTGTGAGAATAAACTGATTGAGAACTATTAATACTGGATTGCTGTTTTGCTATTAAATAAAATTGAAACTTCTTTTGAAAAATGGTAACAAAATTATCTAATTACAAAATTTCATTTTTGATTTAACTTATAAAAATATCATAATTTTGTTAAATATTCTAAGATAATTTTGTTTCATCAGTAGTTGCTTAAAAATGATGTAAATTTATTTTTAATTTTTTTTTTCAAATTTCTTTCCAACATAAAAGATAACTATGGACTATCTTTGCTTTTTGCTTAATAAATACAAATATAAATTGGATTTTAAAAGACATTTTATTTTAGGCTGATGTATTTTCCTTTGGTATTATCATGTGTGAAATTATTGCCAGAATTGAAGCTGATCCTGATATTTTGCCTAGAACAGAGGTAATATTTTATAACTTTTTACCTTCTTAAATAATCTACTATGATATAAATTAATTTATTTTTCATGTTTGCATGTAAAGCAAAAGAAATTAAAAGCAAAAAGGAAAAGTTTTAATTGTATTTCATTTTTGACCAAATGTTTAAAATAGCCAACCATAATATTCAGCCATGAGCCTGGATATTCTGCTCTTTTTCTTTTTAAATTTATCTGATATTTCATTTTTAATTTATATATTTCTGAGCATGTTGAAAAATAACCCTATTGCTGAAATTTTTCAATCATTTAACTTTCAAAATGTGTTAAAACTATTGAAATACAATTTTAATTTCATAGATTGATAAAGATTAAAGTCAGGTGCAAGCAATTTAGATTTTTCAAAGTTGCTTCTTAGTAAATTAATTCCTTTATTAGTTTTTTTGTTTTGTTTTTATAAGTTGTAAGTTTTTGTCAATTTGAGTTTTTATGCTCAGTTTTTTTAAATTTTATTTATATTCATTGTATCTTTATGCAATACTTTAATGTTACTTAATTTAAACTTTGTAAGATTCCAAAGATAATTCCATTTTTCCAAGATAAATCAAACATTTTTCAGATCATTCACTTTCTGAAGATCTATTAATGATATGGTATATGAATTATGTTTTAAAACTTGTTGTAAATTATTATGTAGCCTTATATTTGATGCTTTTTTTCACCCATAAAGCAGTATTTAAAAAATATTTTAATTTGTTATCAATTGTATCTTATGTCTTGTATTTACTGCTGAATTGTATTTGTGTAAAAGTACTTTTTTCTTTGTTATATTTGTCATTCATGAAATAGTCACGTTTTAATGCTGAAAAATTACTTATGAGATAATATTTGTTATATAATCCCATTACTTATTACCATGATTCTTGTGGCAATTTGTGTAATATTTAATAGGATTAATGCAAAAAAGGCTTGAAAATAGGAAAAACTTTTATTATTCTTTTGCTATGAGTTAATAGGCAAAGCGAGAAGAGCAGAACCTTAGTTTTTTCCACTTTAACAAACATATATACCTTAAACCAGTGGTCAGATATAGCATGTTGTAAGTAGCAAAACTAATTAGAAGTGTTAAACTAAAATTAGTTGCTACTTTTTTTGTAGTGCAGTGAGCTGCTTTTTAAATGAAGCAGTGTAATATAAAAAAGTATTGATTCCTGCCTACCACTTTTAATGTTAATTTAGTAAAGAAACAAGGTTCAAATGCACGTATGTTTTTGTATCATATTGTTACAAATCTTTGCAGGTCTTTCAACAGATCCAGCGAAATGCTCCAGTGGTTAAGCGCTCATAATAATTAATTTGTATGCTTCATTGCTGCAATTTTTTCTTCTTTAATCTAGCCCTTATATGTAAAGCTTAACATTTAAAATAGCCATTAAGAACAATAACTTTTTTAAAACTTTGACCATGCATTTAAATGCAACTGTGTACTTATGGAACACTAAAGAAACTATGTTATTTCATCGGAAAGAAATCTATTTTCTTTGTATTTCTATTTCTTCGTGGAAATTAAAGTACATTAAACGTTTAAAAAAAATTTCAAATGTTTTATAGATTTCCTAAATAACTATTCATTTCCTAAAATAAATGTTCACTGTCAAAAGCACAAAAAGTTTTTTAAAAAAAATCTTAAACAATGGTTAGTATAACAAACTGTAAGCACGAATAAGTAAGTAAAACATGAATAAATATTTTTTTCATATGAGCAAGTTAATTTTAGCATTATTGAACCTAAAACCTGAAAATTTGTGAACTTAGGCATATTTAGAATAAGTACAATTTAAGCTATTGCTATTCTATTTTATTTCTACAGTTTGCGGAGAATGAATTTTTTAAAAAAATATTTAAGTTAATCATAATCGTAAGAGTTACATTTGTTTCATTATTGCAAGGTATTTTAAACATTTTTAATCAGTCTTTAACTGCACATAAAATAAGGCTCAATTTTAAAACTAAAAATGGATATTTTAAAAATTTGTGAGTGCCTACAAAGTTAAGTCTTGGACATTTTCTAAATTATGGGCATATTTTTGTACTTTTTACTTATGCAATCACATTTAAAAGAATTTGAATTCTAGTACTAGAGAGAGTTCAATGAAAAATGATAAAATATTTTTCTTTATGTAAAACTCAACAGTCCTGAGATTAGACTATTTTTATCAGTTCTGTCGTCAACCTCCTATTTTTGGTGGACAATTAATCTTTTCTAAAGAACTGTATTTGTTTTGATCGTTATTTAGTTGGATGGATGATTAGGCTTTTAACTTTGTTTACTGCTTTTACTTTGTTTACATGATTTTGACAGTTTGCTTAAAGCAAATTATCAAAATCATGCATTGTCTATTATTTGGGTTACACGTGTGTTTTACAAGAAAAGGGATCTAAGTGTGCAACAAAAAAAAAAGTTTGAAAATTTCACAGAAACACTAATATAAAAGTTATGCAATCTATGCTCAGAGAGATCCAAAATGGCACAAATTATAAATCAGAAGCGTAAAAGAGCTGAAAAAATTGTTTAATTTTATGCAGTATTGTAATCTTGTTAATGTTTCATCATTCATCAACTATTTATTTACAAGCATTTTCATATGTTTTCAGCAAAAAATTTTTTAGAAATTTTATTGTTCATTGCAATAATATCCTGTTTTACTCCTTGTGTCACTAAAGTTTTTGAAGAAAGTTTATTTTATGTATTTTCATTACACAATTTTTTCCTCATTTTGCTATTGATATTCTCTCCTAAATATTTTATCAGTTATGCATTTATTACAAAGCTTGAAACAGGGTTTCCGCTACGGTAGCTTTTTTCGCAAAATGCGAAAAGACCCCTAAAGGATTTTACTAAATTCCATTTAAAAAAAAAGCTTCCTCGAAAAACCATGACGCTAACATCCATGAAAAAAACTTGATCAAACAAGGAGAAAAAATCTAAATATCTTTCGCAAGAAGAACCATGACGCTAGCGTTCACGAAAAAAACGTGATCAAACGAGATGAAGAGCATAGCGATCAACAAAAATGGCTGGAATATATGAGTTTCACCGAGAGCGGAGGTTGCTGCTCTGTTCAAAAACCAAAATCCGCATTTAATTTCAGTACATTGTGTGACACATAGGCTAGCATTAGCCGTGAGCCAAGCAGCGTCTGAGAATGCTTACCTGGTAAAGTTTCAGGACATAATAAAAAGAATTCACTCTTATTTTGAATGCTCCCCTGCAAATACCAGGCGATTGAAGAATGTTCAAGATATCCTTGAACAAAAATCAAGGAAATTCATAAAGTTATCAACAACTCGGTGGTTGTCTTTGGGGAATTCAGTTACAGCTCTGGATTGCAACTGGCGAGCTCTTGTTAGTGTTTTAATGGAAGACAAAGTCCTGTTGCTCAAGGGTTGTTAAAAAATATAACTACTTTTTTGTTTTTAGCAACCACTGCCATCATGAATGATATCATATTCAACATTAATAAATTAAGCCTCATATTTCAAAAATCATTTAAATTTTGAATATGTTCAATCAAGTGTGAAGGCTTGTATTTCAAGTTTAGAAGAAATAAAAAATGGCACCGGCACTCATTATATGAGTTTTTTAGATGATGTGCCTAAGAAGGAAAGTGAAAAATTTGAGTTTCAGGGTCATATAATTTTAGATGGACTGAAACAGAGGGAAAGATTCCGTAATTTGATGCACAATTTTTTAAACTGTATCATTGAAAATATTACTGATAGATTGGGAGACTTGGATAAAATCGAAATGTTCAATATATTTATACCTAGCAGGATGCCCCATAGTTCGGAAGAATTACAGCATTATGGTGTAAAGGAAATCCGTTGCATTTTCAATTTGTTTTCGGAATCACCCAGAAAAGATTTTCAGTTTACAGTTACTCTGTGAATGGGGATTATTTAAACACATCTTAATGCAACGATGTAAAAACATGTCATTTAATGAATTACTTTTATTTTTATAAACCAATGATGTGTCTGAACAGTACCCATTAACAACTTCTGTTATAGAGTATTGTGCAACAATACCAATGCACACTGTTGACTGTGAAAGGGGTTTTAGCTGCCTTAATTTGATTAAAACTAATATTCGAAACAGGTTGTTAATCAACCATGTAAACAATTTGTTAATGATTAATATTGAGGGCCCTGAAAGTGCATTTAACTTTCAAGAAGCATTTGTAAAATGGGCAAACATGAAAGAAAGGAAGATTGTTAATTATAAACCAAAATGTTTTGATAAATAATAAATGTTTTTTTTTTTTTGTTATAGGTATTCTTTTTGATATTCTTGTACATTAAGCTATTCTTTGTCAGATAACTTACAGTACTTGTTTGATATAAAGTAATTTTATAAGCCTAATGGCATTTTAGCATTTTGCTAAAACTTTTTTTCAGATTTTAGCTTTTTTACTAATGAATTTTTAGACTCAGCTTAAACCCTGGCTTGAAACTTTAATAAAGCTCTAATTGCTGCTGAAATATAAGTAGAGAATTAAAAACGAAAAGTATTGAACAATTTTTGTGTAGTAAGTCGTATCTGTTAGAAATGTTTAGACTTTAGAAGTAACATTAATAATTTGTCAAAATTTGTATTGCAACAAACTTATCTATTATTAGTCGCATCCTTATAGAATATAATCTATAATAATTTTGAATTTTTTTTTCTAAGGCAATCTAATAAATTAAACAAATGACAAAAAAATAATTCGTAATTTTTTTCTACCTTTTAAGAATTTGTACTTATTTTCTTGTTATTCATTGCAAAAACTTTTATTTATAATGTTTCATTACAAATTTTCTTTTATTTGTTATTGACTGTTCATATATTTGAAATTTTTACAGAATTTTGGTGTAGACTATGTGGCTTTTAGTGAAATGTGCCCAGATTGCCCACCTCAATTTTTAGAATTGGCTTTCACTTCTTGTAGAGTAAGTGTCCAGCTTATATATGCATCTTTAATATACATTTTTAAAATATATTTACTAAGAATCAACAGTAAAAGTTCATGTTTTTTCATGCAACAGGAAAAAAATTCATTTCTATTTTTTGATATATATTTTTATTTATTTATTTGCTGATATGCGACAAAGATATTATAAATTCTTTATTTTTTTACATTACTTATGAAGCAGTCTAGACTCTTGAGAATTTTTGATCTTCTTTCTAGTTTAATTCAGTCATTTTCTGATTTTTCTGGTATGGATTCTGAATATGCTGTTGAATACCAAATAAAGTTTAGTTCTAATGAACTGATAATTGACTTTTTTTTATTATTAAGTTTTGATATAAAGCAATTTTAAAAGGACTAAAAATCGAAACTAACCTGACCAAGATTATATAAATTTTTATACCATTTCAAACTGTTATTAGTTGCTTAGTTAATTTAGCAGTTAATGATTCATGATATTAATTATACCATATGTGACTGAGATTGTTTAAAATGTAATTTTGATTAATTTAAAGCATATGTCCTCTTCTGTTGTACGCTTTTATTTCAGTTACAACTTACATTTTTTAAGACCTGTTTTAAAAGAAAATTTTTGTTGTGTAATGGTTTACAGAGAAGCTTGCTTTGCTCTTAATTTGATTTGATTTTTATAAAATTGCATTGCTAGAACATTATAGTTTATTTATGCATACAGCCCTTTGATGTTTTTTTAAGAGTTATTGGTTATTGGAATCAACTACTTATTCAGATTCATGAAATCAGGATATTTGAATAACAACTTTCTCACTCATTAAAATTTAGTACAAGTGAGAATCTTAGCCAGGAGATCAGAACTATTTTGCATCTATTTTTCTAAGTCATAATAATATCAGATTTTTTTTCTCATTCACATTGAATGAAATTTGTTAGAATGCAAAAAGTCTTGTGCAATTGAGGAGAAGGGAAAAACCTCATTTCTTTTCTAGTCTCAGTTGTAGTGGTTGGCCAGGGTGCCTGAGGACAAAGTGGCCCTTTACCCTTTCATCGTGAAGTGAGGATCATTGAGGTGGTAAACCTTCTGGTCCTTGTATCCTGGAAATAAAAGTAAGGATTAATAAATGGGCACATTACCCGAATAAGTTTCATCATATATGATGAAAATTCTGCAGCTTCATTACCACATCTTTACTATGCTTTTGTTTAGGAGTAAACATAATCATTAATGTCAAAATAACACATTAAAAAATTGGAATGCACTTTCTCATAATTCTGGTTTGTTTTAATATACTTCCTACATATTTTGTTTGAAAAATAAGTAAAATACTTATTGTTGCATTTTAGATTTCTCCAGACAGCCGTCCAAGTTTCAAGGAAATTGTGCATCAGTTGGAGAAAATGTTAAATGTGATAAGCTCAATGCATGGAGGTTCACAATTATTTTATCCTCCTGTTGTCTACACATCCTGCTGGGATGATGGCGATAACATTGACAGTGTTAGAGCCATCTGTAAGTTAATAATTCAAATGTATTCATAGTTGAAGATGTTTTCTTTTAATATTTATGATGGTTAAAGGAAGTAATTTTTGAAATTATTATTATGCGTCATTTTTGTTACATTTAATTTTTTGAGTGAGTGGTATATCGAATTATTATCACTAACATGGATAAAGGTTGTTGGATTTTTAAATACTTCGAGGCACTCGAACCCACTCGTTTCAGGGTACTCGAACCCATACTCGTTTATGTCTATATACGTTTTTAAAAACTGCTTAAAGGTGCTTATTTTTGATTTACGTTTTTTAAAAGCACTTAAAGATGCTTTTTTTATTTGGGGTATGTAAAAAGTGCTTAATTTTCTATCTTTTTAAAAAGAGATTTTTTTTTCTTTGCCGTGTTGATTGTCTTTAAAAATTACAAAAAAATGCATGATTTTCACAATTTTGTCTGCAATATTTATCAGAAATTAGTTATTTTATCATGATTATGTAAAGTTTTTGAAAATGTTTTTAAATTTTATTGACTTTATGTTTATAAATTAAAAATTTTAAACGATAGAAAAAAATATTACTGCACAAATCCTAACTATATTTTTTGGAAGGTGATTAAAAATATTTTTTGAGTGCTTAAAAAGTACTTAAAAATTGCTTTTTTTTTTCTTGAAAAATCTGGCTACGCACCCTGTACTTGAATAAAATTTTTTTTGTAAATTGGCGCATTTGTGTAATATTTCTCAAATTACTTTCTTTAAAATTTAATATATATATTTTTGGCAGTTTATGAATTGGTTGAATTTAAATGTAAAGTGTATCAGTGTTTATATATTGCAAATATTGCTATTTTTTGCTGTTTTTCCTTCTGTTCTGTTTTGTCTCACATATTTTTATTTTCTGTTAATATTTTTAAATACTTATATTGTTCAGTAACTTTTAAAGTTACAAATTACCTTAGTAATTTTGCTTTTTAAAATTAGCATAGATTTTTTAAATCTTTTTAGCATTTTATTGTTAGCCTTTTAAAGTTAATAGAAAAGTTTTTATTGTATTTACAAAACCTAGTGGCAGTTTTTGTAATGCTTTTCAACCCATGATGTATTTTATAAGTTAGAGAATATTTACTGGTGAATGTAAAAGTAATTGCTGATATTCAGCATAAAGTTTGAGAATTATGAGATTAATTATAAGGTAAATTGAATTTACATTTTATGTCTTACAACTGCGTAGCAATGGAATTAGTAAAAGTGTTGAAAATGTAATTAAAAAATATAACAAATTATGATTTATTCTTTTTTTCCAAATCTATGGCTGCTATTAAACTTCGAGTTAATATGATTTTTACTTATAAATTATTACAAAATTTAGTATTCAGTTGTTTAGTAATGTATTAGTAAAATTTATTTCCTTTTTTCTAGATAAAGCTTATGCTTTAGGTAATTATATTTAGTAGTTGTTTCTCTGCCCCCCCCCTCACTCCATATTTATTTTATTCCAGCATATTGACTATGAGCTGTAAATAACAGGGTTTCTTTCAACTAAACTTTAAAAAATGAGACTTCGATGTTAAAAAAACCAATATTTTTGTTCAATAAACTCAAACTAGGACGTTTAAATCTTCAACAGTTTATTAAACGTGACACTACTTTTTAGGATATTTGTATTACCGTGAGCTATTTTTCTTACTGTATCAGAAATTAATCAAGCTAGTTTTCGTAAGATTTTTGTTTTTCTCTGGGAAAGTCTTTCTTTACCCTTTTTAAATATCTTTTTTTTTTTTAACTAAACCATAGTTTCCTATTTCTTTTCCTTCGATTTATTTCATTTCAGATTCATATCACACAGTATCAAAATAAGTCATTTTTTTAGAACATAAATGCTACATTTTTGCTTTAAGTTGTAGTCTGCTGAATACTGTCACAGAAATCAAATCACCTTGTTGTAACAACAATCCATTTTATGTTGGATAACTTCAATTTGTCTTTGTATGACTTTGTTTGACAGGTTAAATATCAAAACCAAAATTATCGTAAAGATTAAAAAACGTTCTAAATTTTTCATACCCCTGGATTTTTTTTTACAGTCATGTTGCATAGACAGCAATTTTTTTAGAGAGTCAATGCAACATGATTTGCAGGTTATAAAACTTGCACATCCAGGTATGGAACTTACTTGGAGTGAAATTGAAGTAGGTACTTTTTTGTCAATTGAAGGATAATTTTTAATACTCAAAAATAGTGCAAACAAAGAATAGTAAAGAAAAGGTGCCTTTTGGCTGGCAAGCATTCAAGATGTTTTTTTGCAGGTAGCTGCAAAATATGCGGAACCTTACGTGATATGTGCATCTGATTATTTATAAGAATACCAGATGCAGCTTAAGATGTATTAATCATACCAAGAAAAGCCTGACTTATCAGTTACTATCAAAATGATATCCACGTAAATATTGCTAACAATTGCTCAAAATGGATAGATCCATTTGTGAGACTTAGGAAAAGTCAAACTTCTAAAGTTTTAAATCAAATGAATTCCACGTTAGTCAAAATGACTAGTTTTTTTAGTGTTAAAGTAAATAGTCGTCCCAAGTGAAGCTTCAATAATGAGAAACTTAGAGAAATGTTGTTATGAAATCACAGCCTTATTAATATTGTTCACCTATACTGTTAAATATGTATGGACTATATAAGTAATTTATATCTATAGCAACAAAAAAAAAACCTTGAGTGTAATGGTATGAGGTTTTGACGTCATTTAAAACACTGGTCGATGATTTCAATAGTAAGTTATCAAGTTGAGAAATATGAAGGCAAAGTAGATACACGATCAACTAAAGGTGGCAGAATTCTTGAAAATAAGTTTTGTTTTGTAATTAACTGCTTTATAAACTTAAAGGGCTAAGATTGTGAGAGTGAAATACAGTGTAATGATGTTAGTTTTCCACTTTGTTGTATTAATAACAGATTTTTAAAATACCTATTTTGACCCTTTTCGTGTAATATGTGTCTGGCTTATCACTTAACTCACAAATCAACTTGATACCTCTACCAAAAACAAAAAAGCATTTCCCTCTATAAATAAAAAAAATTAAAAAAAGAATTAATGCACTAGTTTGTCTGAAAATTTTTAACTTGTTATAAATATAAACTTTTTGTGTTTGTACTTAGCGGTTACTTGGAAACTTGTGACAATGGACTTCTCCTAGTAAGCTGTACACTTGTTATATCAAACTTCTGTTGTATTTTTCTAATTTTATTTGCAGATTAATTTTGTATTTTATTAAATTTAAATATCGAAAACTTAATGTATTTAAAATAAAAATTTCTGAAACTGCTTAAAATAATTTTTAATGCTTAGTAAAATGTTTTTTATATTCTAGTTGCTCATGGATGGAGTAAACTTAACTTCCAGAATACAAGTCAGCCAAAAAATCCAGCGACTCCTTTAAAAGTTCACAGTCCTATTATTGAACAACCACCTGTTACTCCAAAACATGTAGGAGAAGCCATGTCAATGCAAGACCCCCATTACAAACCTAACAATAGCTCTCAAAATCCTTTCGCTTCATTACCTAGATTTTGGAAAGGAAAAAAGTTCCTAGAACAGTCTCTGGACGATTCTGACCTAAGTCATTCAATCAGTTTTACCGCCCAATCTGATTCTTCCAAAGTATCTAAATTTAAATCTATTAAAAAAGTACTTCCTTCCTCTTTGAATGAACAAATCACCAAACAGATATCAAAATCATTGCCAACATCACCTGTTTTTGATCGAAAACCTTTAAAGTTGAAACTATTTACAAATATTCCATCTGAAGAAATGGACTCACCCAGATCAGTTTCTCCCGGATTGTTTTCGTCACCTTCTTCACTCTCACCTTTTGAGCCTGAAGAATCTTTTTCAGGTTACAATTCCGTCCAAGAACAAATGAGTGGTTGCAAGTTGGATGATTCCTGTGATCAGCTGCAAGAGCTACATAAAATCCATTTCGGTACCAGTCAGACCCCTTGCGAATCTTCAATCGGTGTGACTTTCCGAACAAAAACTCCATCTCTGTGTGCCAAACTCAGACGCTCCTCTGGAGAATCTGGTTTCTTCAGTGTTGGTGACAGAAATAGCACTTGTGATTTGTCTTTGGAGAGCTACCAAGCACATGACGATATGCCTTCCTGGGCTACAGATTGCAGTGTTACTGATTCTCCGAGTGACACAGACGACAGTGGACAAGTTGGTGGAGGTGGTAAAAAACGACCTTCCTCTTGCTACTCTGATGATTCTTGCTGTTATTGTGGTAATTTGTCAAACTGCTGTGAAACCAGACTACATTCAGACTCAGAAATAGACAGAGAACACAGACAATCTGCATGCCAGAAATCCACGCCCCTAAATTCATCGGGTGTACTTAATTGTAACTGTAAACTATGTTTTTCCGAGACTCCCTGTCAAAATGGTGAAACAGTCATATTGAAAATGTCTAGTCAAAATGAGACTTCACAGTTCGAGTCAAAATCTAACCTGCCATATCAACATAATTTGGTTAGACAGCACGCTAGTTTCCCACTGTCTAAAACTTGTGAGAAAGGCAATAGAGCTGTCAAGTGTATGAGAACCTCAATCGATTAAAAAGTAAGTTTTAATATGTATTATATGAATTTGTGACTGCCTAAATGTGAAACTAAGCTTTTTTACTTTTTAGGTTACTTTATCTTCATATACATATAGATTCAGACTCCTATTTACATCATTTTTATTTTGCAACTCCTAGATCTAGCATTTTTTCAGTTTATTTCAGGGCTCGAAAAATTTCAAAAATTTTACCCGTCCTCCTTTGAAACTAACCTGTCGCTTCTAAATAAATAAAAATATAATTTTCTCTTATTTATTACAAACGTTTATATAAATTGCACAATGAATTAGTAGTTACTAGGATTACAAATACTAGGATTGCATTATACAGTAATAAAAGGAATACTAGGTTACTAATAGGAACCTAGTATTTCTTTTATAAAATAATTTATTTCTTTTATGAAATAATTTATTTCTTTTATGAAATAATTTCTTTCTTTTATGAAATAATTTCTTTCTTTTATGAAATAATTTAAATGACAAATGTCAAGTTATCTGGAATGTCAATTTATCCGAGAGTACTGCATTTTTTAAATGAATCAAATATGACGTTTGCCAGTTCCACAATCAAGCCAATG